GTGTATAGCGTATGCTATCCTAGACTATATATATAATTCAGACTAGCCTTTTTCATATATATTTTTATATATCTTACTATGTTTATCGCATTTGAAATATCATTGAATCAATATTCATATTGTATGGATTATAGCAAGGAAACCCTTATAATTGAGCACACATCCAATGTAATACGCTTCTGGCCGCATCTTATGCTCATGATGAGCATAGATGAGTAGATGGTTGGCCCACGTGTCTCTCTAATCCATCTCATAAAGAGAAATTTGCGGCAAATTAATAGGATATATAAGCATTATGAGTGGAGACACCCGGTCCATTATGTAGCTCCGACATCCCAACACTGCCTCTCGTTCCTTTTAAAAGGACTACCCTCAACCTCCTAAAGTCCAGAAAGAGATTTCTTCCCCTCCCTCCCATTCACGAGGGGCTTCACTCAACGAATCTGTGTGACACTTGAAGGAGCCTACGTTTTGGTGTACCACATACCCTGAGTATGAAACAGTTATTCAGACCATGAATTGACTGATCTTTCGGACATAATACTATACTCTAACCCTTAGAGATCAAAATCTAGGTCTTAGTTCTCTAAATCTAATACTCCAAGATCAATTTAATTAGAATAATAATTGACGGTTATGATTCGTCCAAATAAAGGCCAAAAATGATTGCACCATCTTAGGATTTATAGTTTATAATTTAGATAATTAGAAACTAGGGTTCACTCATTAAGGGTTAGGGTATAGTATCAGGTTCAAAAATCCTGCTAATTCAAGGTCTAGATAGGCACCGTAGATTTCACCCGGGGTACCGCATACCTTGAGTATGAAAACGCTATCTAGACATCAAATTAGCAGGATTTTTTTGGCATGATACTATACCCTAACCCTTAATGAGTGAACCCTAGGTCCTAATTATCTAAATCATAAACTATAAACCATAAGATGGTGCATTGATTTTTTGCCTATATTTGGATGAATCATAACCGTCGATTATTGTTTCTAATTAAATTGATTTTGGGGTATAAGATTTAGAAAATTAAGACCTAGATTTTGATCTTTAAGGGTTAGAGTATAATATCATGTCCGAAAGATCAATCAATTCAAGTTCTGGATAGCGTTTTCTTACTCAAGGTATGCGGTACCCTGGATTTCACCCTTGGTACCGTAGAACTCCCCATATATATATATTACTGTATAAGAGCAAGTCTAACGAAATTCTAGACAAAGCTTGTCAATGCAATAGTTTTTCCTTATGTTTTCTTTCATTTGGTAGTTTTTACTTTCTTATGTGTTCTGCGAAAAATCAAGGGGAACAACCTCGGGGGCACCTCAACCCCATTTATTTTATACACATAAGAACATGTTACTCATTGACTGAGTAGGGGATGTGAAAGGCTTTGAGGAAATGCGATCCTGGTTACTTACCATGTGAATTCAACCCTTATTCTACTACCGATCAAATTTTGGCACCATTGTCAAGAAACTTTGGTGATCATTTCTGAGAGCAAGGTAAATGTTATTTATTTTTCCTTTTATTTTTGTTTTTCTGTCATTTTATTTTTGTTATGTGTGATTTGTTCGAGTATTTTGTTTTTATCTTTTTCATGTTAATTTTCGTCTCTGTTAGTATTTTGTCTTCTTTTGTTCTTCTTTTTGTTTAGTGTTTATAGATTGTAGTCATAGTCTAAATTCACACATAAGAGATACCAAATCGATGGGCAAGACTTTTTGGCAAATTTGGTGGTGTTGGCGCCATTTTACAAAGACTCATCACTTGACAATTTTTGTAAAACAGCTTATGTGTATGAGTCCAACACGAACCAGAGCATAATCCATAAGCTAAAGCTCGAATGGGCTGCCCGGGATCATGTTTGTCAGACACCACCAATTTGAAAGAGAGCCTCTAAGTAAAAGCAGCTCACAATTCTTTCCTCTCTTCGATCAACGTTTAGTAACAGAAAGCAATAACCCCGCCCTTCTCAACCACCATCTCCAAGAGGCATGCCGACACAAAGGCTATACAAGTATACCATGCCTCAAGCTGCGAACATTGGTTCTAGCATAGTCCTACCCTTATTATTGTCCCAAATTTTGAGTTGCACATTTTCATAATACTAATGGTCCAAAATGCTAGACGTTTTGAAGGACAGGGTAACGGAAATCTTGTTGAACAAAACATTTTTGGAGATATGTTTGCACAACACCGCAGAGTTGAGCTAATGCAATCACGCTACACCTCTTTCCTTTTTTCATATGGGGAAAAAGTCTAATGTCATCAAATGCAATCAAATTAATATTATTATCAATAGTCGAAAGATTCAAATATAATAGTCAATAATTCGATAATGTTACAATCTACATCAACATCAAGATAGTCTACAATTAAGATCATAAATTAGGGGTAAAGCACACACCAATATAAAGAAGACACACACCCCTGAGATATTTATTTCACTACTAGGTGAAAACACCAAAAGTAAATGAAAAATATCAAAGCGGAGTCAGTTCATCTCCCATCAAGCGTTAACTTAGCTTCATAAGCTATACGGTTTCACCTTAGTCTCTATCCATCCCAAGACCTCTTCGAAATTGACATTCTTGTTGGTGACATGAAGTCTCAAGTCATGAGCATTTTATAGGTCATTTGATGAATGCTCGTGGACTCTATTAATTTAGAGGTTCCATCTTCGAGGCCTTTTCTTGCGTTCTTATTTATTCTCTTTGTCCCAAACCATGTAAGACATCATGGATTGACCATTCTCGAATCAATCAAGAGGGACAATAATGGGGTTGTCCTTTCTTTGGCAAAGAGATTTGATAAAATGACCCATTTCAAGAAGTCTCTCAAGGTCAGGTGTGACACTTTGGTTTGGGTAAAATTTAAGAACATCTTCATGCACCTAAATCTTGACAAACCTTTGAGATCCAGTTACCTGTCAACCTCCCCTATTTCTTCTTGGGTAGTATCATTCCCCTCTTATTCAATAATGGTCAGTGAATGGTCTTGAGCAAGTGTATAACACAATTCTTCAAGAGATTCTTCTTTTTTTCCAAACTACTGAGTATTTCTTCGAAAGCTTGTACATCGTTGGAGTTTAGAGAAGGAAGGATGCGATTTGCTACATTGGAACATTGTAAGAAACCCATATCCAGACATCTCTGTCTAGGGTTCGAGAATTATTGATAATAGATAATTGGGGATTTGAGGTAGATTAAGGATGAAGATTTAAGAAAAAAGTGAAGGAATTTGGGATAGAAAATAGAGAGAAAATGGTCGGTTTCAAGGAGGAAGGAAAATGACAATAATATGGAGAGGAGTTGGATGAGTTTCGACTAGGAAGAGAGATTAGGTTTTAGGAAATTCTTGCTCTATAAGTGATTAATGAGAAAATTTCATTAATTACATATTATATAACCCAATATATTCTCACTAATTACGCAAACTTACACTTGTTAACAAAAACATCCAAGTAGTCCCAGAAATCCTCTAATTCACATCCGAAGTCTTAAAATATAAATAAACTGACAAGTTGGTCCAAATACCAAAATAACTTAGAAATTAGGCTTTTTAACAATCCACCCCCTTGACCAACCTTGCCATCAAGGTTGGCCAGCTCCTGCCTTGTTCGCCTTACATTCATAGGTTGCTAGCTCATCTGCTTCATCCTCCAAATTTCCTAACAACAACATCATGTGAGCATAAGCGGAGTGGTTACCGACAGTGTATCTCCCATTGTAGTTGAAACATTGTATGTCTCTAGGCTTCTGCCACATCTCCTCATCTTCTGACTGGTAGCCTCCTCTTCCATCTGGTGTGTTTCTTGATTATCCGACTCAGATCGATTATGCTCCGACCAAGTTTGTATGATTGGTTCATTTCATTTCTGACCAGTCATGTTCGACCATAGATTGTCCAGCCAGTTCATGTGGTCGGCCCGACCCAGTCCTTTGACCCCTGGGTTCAAACCAGTCTGCACCATGCCCTCGTCTCCGAAGCTCATCTCGTCTTCCTCCCATGCTCAGCCCATCCTCATATAACTCAATCTAGGGTTGCCAATCGGTGTGGTAGTGGTTAACCGCATAGAAATTTGTTGTTAACCGCTGCAAAAATTGAGCTATATGTCAACCAGTAGTTTTTTGAAGAGTGGTTGACAACCACGACCACACTGCAAACGATTAGCGTTAATGATGCAATGCAAACCACTGTAACATCTATGGAGGTAGTATGTATCTCGTCGCCGATGGTTTCTCGTGGGGAGCCCTAGTTTTTTGAAGAGTGGTTTCAGACTACAACATGTAGGGTAGAACCGGAAGGACCTTTTAAGTTCTTATTCTGTTTGTAGTTAACCAGAAACCGTGAGGTTAATTCCTATTCGTTTGTGGTTAAAGCACTAACCGCAAAACAACCAATATCACTAACCACGCCCACAAACGAGCCTTCTTATTCGGTGTTGTTAGTAGTTTCACCGCAAAACCGCGCCGTATTGCCACCTCTAACCTCAGCCCACGCTCAGCTGAGGCCATGCTCCCTTTCTAAAGCCCGCCGAGTTGTAGCTCGACAACTTGGCCTTCGTGGTTCCCGCGACAGGCTGCAATCTTCTAAGTTGGCGATGTAGGCAGACTCGAGCCCCGAGGAACCTTGGCCGGTATGCAAGGGGTGAGTCCCTTGCACCAACCCATTGTAGACGTTGTCGCCTTCTCACCCTTTAGCTCCATGCCCACCTCTTCGACTGTTGTGTCTCGATCATTGTCTGGTTTCTCGATTACCGTGAGATCCACGCTGGTGCGACCCACCACCGCCGACACCACCTGCACACCAGCCACTGGGAGAGGAGAGGGAACAGTATGGAATGAGAGACTAGGTTTTACAGAATTCTTGTATTGATAAGCCAACAATTAGCTCTCAAATTAGATGTCCTTCGCAGGACTTGAGTCATTCCACCAGGGCTACTTTATTGAGTTGCATCTTCAAAAAAGTTGGAAGAAATTATACATATAAATCCGATAATAAAATTTTATACCATACATCCAACAAAGAAACTTATATCTAAAAGGCCTCATAATAATCAAAATGAAAAGGACTGGCAAAGTAACAGACGGTGCACAAACAAAAGCATTATGGGACAGACAAAATTCATTCCCCGTCGCTGTGGGATAGCCAACACTTTTCTCTTCGATAAGCTGATGTCAAAATTCCCCATTCAAACCAATAGTGCCACCGCAGATACTGAAGAGGGGGAGAGGGATGAAATTATAATATCCCAAAAAGCTTTTCTTTACACAATCCCAATAAACTCATGCCACCATCTGCAGCCATAAAATAGTTTACTACCTTATGTTTCTAGTTTTGTTTTGATTTTTTTTTTTTCGTGATTTTTTTTTTTTAAATTAGAAAAAATTATCTTTAGGTTTGTTTGTCTATCTTGGTCTTTCCAAAAGCTGGTTCCTTCTTTCGTCACTCACCCAATATGTTATAGATGACCCCCTACGAGAAACCATGTTTCATCACGATCAAGTCAAGACCACTACCATCAGGACATCCATGTCGTCGAAAACCCTCTCCTGGGTCCACAATTTTTCCTCCAATGTGCATCACAACACATTTGCACTTCAATTCTTCGCATAAGTGAAGTGACCCAAACCTTCATGGCTAGATGATGGCTGTGGCTGATTACTAACATCACCTGAGGACGATCTGCTTTGGAATGCCTCTGATTGAACATCCGCTTGACGTCTCGCATTACTTTGAACACTGACCTCCTCCAGTGACATGTTTTGCATGTTACCCAGAAGCATCTCTTGATTGGACTTCCCAAGGCCTTGAGGGATAGGGTTACTAGGAAACTGAACAGATTGCGGCATCAACCACCTCATCCAGTCGTTTCTTCTTCTTACTTTGTCACCCTACCGCGTATAATGCAATCGAATAAATGAGTGAGGAAGTGGAAGTGTTAGTCAGCGCATAAGAATGGCAACAAAGAAGGAACCAAGATATACCTGCACTTCCACCGCAGTTGAAGACCTCAGAGCCTCCAATATAAGCGGTATATTATCAGTCAAATGAGAAACCTGTACACAAAAAAAAAAAAAAAAAAACCCCTCCGATATGGTCACTAGATAAGTCTACTCTAAAGTCTAAAGCTAACCAGAAGCGAACACAGCATATGAATATGAATATCAAGTTGTCTTCTAGAAAGTTAGAACGCAATTAACCAAGATGATCTTACTCCACCATATCCATGTTTCTTCTTCTGTTTTGCATAGAATAATCACCAACATGAAACTTTCAATTGCATTTTCATCAAGACTAGATCCAAACACAACTCAAACAACCGCACAATCACAGAAAGTAAGGAATTCATAACCATTCAGTTATGATTCATAAAAGACCATATAAGCTGATGATATAAACACTATTAGAACTAGGATCGCTTGTAGCTGAGCCCTGCAGTCCTACACCACAAATTCATTGAGAGCACATCCCCTTGAGAGATAAGTCCAGTCACTTTAGTAAAACACGTTATGTTCAGGAAATTCATCTCAAATGACACAGCAGAAGCAGCCAATAGACCACATACCAGTTCTGTCTGGCACCAATAACTAAGGATATTGGTCTAGCAGAAATGTCCTGTAATATCCAACTTGAATGTGGAATTTTTCTTCTAAGAAAAATATTAATCAGCATTGAAGATAACACATTCTAGGTGCACAGCAACGAACATATGCTCTAAGCAAAGAAGATCTCCTTATAGCTGCTAGACTCAGCCTTTCAACAATTAGACATAGTATGTGGAAACACATTGACCAATAAAATTATAGTACAATATACACAAAGCCAGAATCCATGTTAATCTAAACAATGAACTACAAATGAAGGATTCATTCACACATTGTACGGAGCATTTTCTTTTCCAAGTAAAATACTTCAGTCGCTCGTGAAATACTAACTTCCGAAATGAGAATGTATATAAGCCTATTCTGGTCTGGTCCGGTATGGAATGAACTTATAATCATGTGATGGATATTGATAATAACGCTGATAATAACACTGATACTCGAGCATTTCATGGCAAACATAAGACAACAATCAACATTGATCTTATCAAATTTAAAACATTTGTAGTTCGCAAAAGCAGCAGACTTTAGTGGTGCATATTATTCAAAGTTCTGTACCAGAAAAGTGTTGAGCATTTACCAAATTATAGACCTACTTTCTCCCATGTTCTAATATGAGCAATTGAAATGAAGAAAAAAAGTGCGAACAAAGAAAAAGGACACTAAAAAATAAGTTGAAATATGCAACAAAAAAATTATGAATTGCCAGGCGTTTAACTCACTTTGTTGAAGCCTGCAATTAATTTTATGGGTACCCAGCCCTGTTCATCCATATTCTGCCGCAAAAAGGTGTCCCGAATTAAATTTTCATTACTGCATCAACAAGTAAACATAAGTTCAGATTGTTATCAGGAACTTGAAGTATACAAAAACACTACATTCTCAAACACAAAAAGTGAAATACACGTGAAATGAGATACCTAAAATAGTAATCTATCTGAGTCACTATTTTAGAATGCAACTGAAAATCTGGAGCAGGGAAAAACATCGCATGAGGTTGTATTTGTCCCGGAACAAAAGGCACTCCTCTCAAAGATTGTGGAGGTGGAGGACCAGTAACGTAATACAAAGGAGAAGCCAATTCTGTAAGCGCCAACAAAGCAGTTAGAAAAGAGGAAGCAATAGAAGATTAAGTAATCAATCAGTAGGGCACAAAAGAAGATTAAGTAATCAATCAGTACAGCAAAGACAACCTGAGGCAGATACACAACATACCAGGGAAACCCATGGGAGCACCAAAGGGCCGTACTGGAGCAGGTCCCATAAAAGGTGTAGATGCAGGAGGAGGAGGTGGGGGAGGTGGGTGCCTCATGAACCTCGGTGTGACTCTCTGTGGCTGCTGCACATGGCCCTCCCTACCATTGAAACTCCTATTATGAGTATTCCAGTCCTGGTTTCCACGGTCTTGGTCACGCCTACCTCCTCCATAACCATGATGATTGTAAGAGCCATCTGCACGAGAATGCGGGCCACCACTATTGCGGCTTCTGAATGAGCTGCGTTGCCCTGAATTCGGTTCATTGCTGTTGCGCGATTGAGAACTCCTTGGGCCATGGTCTTTAGGAGAAGGGTTATTTGAGTGTTGGACCTCCCCTGCATGTCCCTGTGACACGACTAAGGGCTGAGGAGAGATACCATCAGAAGGAGGAGCACCATTACGCTGTTTGATTGATCGTTGACGGTGTGGAGCAGTATGGTTTGGAGTCGAGTTAGGGTTTGCATTAGTATTGACTTGTTTCTGAGGAAACGAGGATGCAGTTCCACTTCCCTATACAATCAATCAAGCAAGGGCAATGTTTCTAATCAGCCACATTGAAGGCCGAACATACTGGGGGAACAACAACGCACTCGATGTTGTTCAACAGACGGTGAGAAACAAATAAAAATTTATTCTCTTGTATCTACAAAGTTAGGCTATAGTAGCTGATAATCACCAAATTGAAGTACAAGTATCGGGAGCATCTCAAATCAGCTTGTATTAGACTCGATCAATTAACCATCATCAGTCAACATAGCCAGAATGTAAGCGTAAATCAGAACAAAAAGTGAATGGCGGAAAGAAAATTGTACCGAGACAGGCACTGGAGATGATGATCCGTCGGGCAGAGACAATTTAGAGGAAACCCTTGTGGATTCAGATAAAGCAGGCCATGAAACAGCTCCCATTACAGGTCCAATCTCTACAGGGCCATTAGACGGCACATTCCAAGCTGGTCTCTTGCCAGCATTGCCATTACAGATCTCGTCATCCGTAGTTGAAGAGGATGAAGCTGAGCCCAGGACTTGTTCCGAAACAGCAGTGGGGGAAGAAACACCAGCGGCAGAAGGAGACAAAGGAGCCACGGAGTTTGATTCCGACTCTCCCCTTACGACGTGGCTCCATGGTGATGAAACAACCGCTGTCTTGCCTGAACGGCGAGACTGCGGACTATTAAGTTGCTGTGGCTGTATGCCGCTGTTCTCCATTAGCCGGCCCACACAAAAAAACAGAACAGAACAGACACCCTCAGAGCGATGGGTGAAGGAAAGCGGGAGAGGAACAGTGTGTATCAAAAAGTGTGGTGCGGTGTGGAATTAGCAGTGTATTCTGGTTATCTGATCGGCGTGATTCCAGAACAAAACAACCAAAACACACCAATCAGACCAGAAAATTAGGGTTCAAGGGTGGGATTGCGAAAATGCCGATAGACGATTCAACCCAAAAAAAAAATAAAGTTTAGATTCTTGTACAAGAGATCGGTAGAAAACGGGAGGTAGAAGGGCGGCGGATTTTTGCTGCTCTGCTATGCCGCTCTCTAAATTTTCTTTTTTCTTTCCTCGTTTTCCTTTTACCTCCCTCTTCTTTCCTTTGTTTTTTTCAGTTTTTTTTTACCCTTTCTCTTTGCTGTAGCACTAGGGTTCTGTCTGGGGCTGGAGGCCAACTTAGTGATAGTTATGGGGTGAGGTGGGTAGCGGATTCGGTCAGAGTAATTAACTAAATATACATAAGTACGTAACCCAATTATCATTTGTAACATTGCTCTTTTTTTCTGAAATTTTTTTATTTTTTTTATTTTTAATGGACGATTTCTCACTCGTTTTGAGAAATTTTTGTCTTTTGTAGTTAGTTCAGATTAATTGTGCTCTATTTTAAGATGGTTGAATACATTTATAGTATGGGTATAATAATTGTCATTTTTGACTTTCAATATTGTGTACCACAAGATACCATCTCGTAGTAGGGTGGTATTGTGTGGTACTTTTAGGTTTTGTATTTTGTTTACCCAGAAATTTGTAGATCCAATAGATCATGATTAACTCGTTCCTTCTGTACAAAACTTTTCAAAAATGACTTAAAAACAAAGAAGATACCATATGGTATGCAGTTGGTAACGAGATGCATAAAAAAAATTCTCAAAAAATATTCAAAATGGATCTCATTTTGTAGAGCACAATGAACTCGTTTCAACTGTGAAAAAAAAATTAAATCCGATTAATAAAAAGATATGACCCAATTAAGAAAAATAGAGAAAATAAAAATGTCTTTAATTATTCACCCTTAGATCTGGATTTTCTGAGCCTACTTAAAAGTAAGGTCCATATTTAGTTACTGATAGGTGCATAACCATGGGTGGAGCGTGATGGATATCTCAATATTAATTATTGTTTCGTACTAAGCGTGGATAAGATAAGGCAATATCAGTTTGGGTATAGGGTGGTTCAACCAATCCTTATATGTTATTTGAAGAAAAGAATTTTGATATTCAATTATTTTACTAGAAGACGTAAAGAAAACATTTCATAAATGAATCATAGATATATTACACAATTTAGTTTAAATAGTCAAAAGTTGGAATTTTAAAATTTATTTTGTGATGAAATTATTTAAAAAAAATGAAAAGATGAGAAATACAAGTAAATATTGATGAAAATCATTATCAAACAAGTCGAGAACGAGACATGTCGGAAGTAGTACTCATACGGCCATACCCACCCCAAACAGGTCGGGCAGGTCGGGGCCCATGAGTCAGATTAGGAATTGACATCACTAAGCCCATATTACATCAAACAAACTTGTCAAATCGGTTTATACAGACAGTTACATCGGTTTAACAAGTGGTATGGTTCGATTGTGATACAATCGATTCATACCAATTTAACAAAATATGTATAAATGTGAAAAACCATTAACATAAAATAAATTTAAATATATATAAAACATATTTGAAAGCAATTAAAATCATATTTAAATAGAACACAACATGTCAAACAAAATAATTAATACTCATATTTAGCGTCAACACCCAAACGTTTATACTCGAATCCAACAAATTACATCAACATTTAACTGTCAAATTCAAAAAATAAATCATAAATTCTTTTTTTTTTTTTTTTGTTAATCAAATTTACTACAACGACGTCATTATGTATAGAGGACGAAAATCGATCACCAGTATGACAACAAGTTTCATGAACGAAATCGTTTATACCATGTTCAACCGGCCAGACATTCCACCGGAATTACAACCATGCCCTCAAAACTTCTATATGGCAAAACGTAATTTCGATCTAACCCATTTTACCCGGCCTATTTGATCGATTTTGGAATGGGTAATACCCGTCCCGTAAGTGGGTCGGGGATGGCTACTCTCATGGACCTGACATGCCCTGCCCTGTCTCATTTTTTACTCCTTTTTGCCCAAGTTTACTCAAATTAAATAGTATTTTACTTTTATTACCTTATATTTTAGCTATAATAAAGTTGTATATATATGTGAGAACCTCAATTTCACAAATAATTTAACTACGTTTATCATATAGTTTGTTTCCTTTTAAATTACATATCCAAATGGGTCAACCTGCCTAGACTCGTGCCCCATGATAAATTACCCGACCTGTCGCGAGAGGGTATGATATCGAGATACTTGACGTGACGCAAAGTGGATATGAATATCGAGATACCGACTTCGAATTGCCATATTACCATTCATGGGAAAAACACCCAATATTTTATGCTAAATTACATATTTCATCACTCAGTTGATCATAAAATTTCACATTTGTCACAAAAAAATCACTTCATTGTTAGTCACTTACTTTAAGGATCATTTTACTATCAGTAACTCGCCATTCATATTTATCAAACTCTATTAACACCGTCAAATTTTCAATGAGATGGCAAATGAAAGTACTGAATTGGTTAACATATCGTTGAGCCACTCAAATATTACCTGAATTCAAATACACCTGAGTCGTATAGAAGAAAAAAATCTCAATTACCATGTTTTAGCTATCCACCCATTGTAGTTTCTTGGAAGGGATTGAGAAATCGAGATTTGCACTTAATATCTCATAATGGCCGATTTGGGTCAGAAGCGACAAGGTCTATAAATCGTACCATGATATACTTTGAGTTCCATTGTTCCACCGACTGGATCCAAAGCTATAGAACATAGTACTAGAGGAAACCCAGTTTCATGAACCGTTGACCCAGTTTTCATTATGTTTTCCCAATTTAGGGTTTCTTGACGAATCCCTTCTTCTTATCGAGGATCTGCAGCTTAGAGAAATTGGTGGCACCAGTGTATGCTAAGGCTGGAGATGATGGCCAATAGTTAATCCACTGCGGTGAATTGAGTTAGAATCATCTCCTTCTTTCGTAGTGACAAATCGAATGATGTGATTTTCTTGTTGTGAGCGGACCCGGATTCCCTGATATTTAGTAGCAAAAGCAACAATTTATGGAGATTGAATGACTCAAAATAAGAATGGTTAGTGATGACACTTAGAAACAATGGTATTTTGAATTCGTCATTTAGGATCAAACTCTTGCTAGTTAATGCAGTCTTTTGGTGATTTTACAACAGAAATAATAGAAAAATGTCCAGCATGCAATTATTAGACCGTAAGTATGATTTTATTCTTTTTAACCATTTTGAGTAATTTTTGCCGATTTTCAAGTACAAGCAGACCAGGAAAATTTTAGGGACCAAGATGGACATTAATGTAATTAAGCACAAGCCTTTGGAGCAAGAAGACCATCAGAAGGCCAAGCCACTGATCAGTCAGTAATAACTCAATGAAGCTGTAAAATGGGCCAAAAGCCTATGAGCCCAGGAGAAACTTATAGACCAAGTTTCACCCCCCTATTAGACAATGTGAAGACTGAGATGACCCAAGCCTACCACTGAGACAGTCGCAATTCTAGAAGCTTCTTCTTGTTGTGCACGCCAAGGAAAATGAGTCCTAGTTCAAAGTTCAAACATGAAAAAAAAACTTATGTAATTTTGGTTATTATTAGGCTTTAGGTTTTGGGACTTAATATAAATGGGGGATTAGATTCAACGACCAAACTGCATTTGAACCATGGCAAAAAATTCCTTAGCCGCAGCAAGTAAACCAGATTTCTGTCTTTAGAAATAAACCCCAAGTATAACGGGTGGCATGACCAACAAACAATGCGAAATATCGAAAACCAACACGTGATGTGACCGGAGCAGGCCCCCATAAATCATTATGACTAACGCAAACGGTTCAGAATACTCCGTATTACTCAAACTGAATGAGTGCTGAGAAAGTTTAGCCTCAGCACAATGAACACAATCCCGAGAATCCACAGAAAAACAGAACCCGATATCAACTTAGTTTTAAACATATCGAGCCGAATTGGGATGGCCTAACCGACGATGCCACAAATCCCAGCTAGAAAGTTTAACCGAAAAACAAGAATCTACTTTAGAAGCAGCCCTCGGAATGCCATCTCCACCTTGAACACCGCCACCAGCACCCGACTCCATGCACACTTCACGTGGCCTCCCATGCAGCCGATCACGAGAGTAAGCATCCAAGGTGTAGACGCGCCCAATCTTAGTCCCTCGGCCGATCACCGCCCCCGACGTCGTGTCTTGTACAACACAACCATGTGAATCAAATGTAACGCGACATCCATCTTTAGCAAGCTGACCAACTGAAACCAGACTAGGAACTAAACTGGGCACATATAAAGCATCATAAAGCTTAACCCCATCCCGAGTAATATCACCAATTCCCTTAGCAGGAAGACATGTACCATCAGCTACTTGTAACTGAACTTGTGAAGTTGGTTTTAAACCAGTGAAAGAGGAGTGACAACTAGTCATGTGATTAAACGCGGCGGAATCGAGATGCCAAGACGAGGAGGTAGGAAGAGGCATACCCGTGGTGAATACTGAACCTAAGACAGTAGGAAGAGTCTCCTTAAGTACTTCTTGCATTAACTGGCGAAGAGACTTCCGAGAGGCAGCCATCTCCACCGGCAGCGGAGGCCCATCAATAGTAATGGCATAAGCTGGAGCCCCACAGCCTGCTGCCGAAGACGACCCACGCCACGCAAGAATCAGACAGTCCCCGATCAAATGCCCCTCCTTTTTACAATAATTACACGCAATACGCTTGGGACAGCGGCGTTGAACGTGGTCTGGTTCATGACAGAAGCGGCAAATAATCACCCTAGAGGATGATTGCTGAAATCGGGGCCGATCAGAAGCCACAAAGGCTGGAGCAGCCTCCACAGGAGTAGAAGACAGCGAACCAGCCCCAACCGGTGCAGCAGCAAACGCGGACGAGCCCGCCGAGTCCGAGGAATGAACGTCAAGCTTAGCTTGACTACGCAACCTTGTCTCCTCACGAATAAGCTCGCCCAAAACCTCCTCAATTGTAGAAACGTTGCGATGAAGGAGGGAGGAACGAATACCTTCAAAATCAGCTCTAAGATTCATCAAGAAATACATGAGACGCGAGCTAGCCTTCTCCTTCAAGACTTCAGACGAAGCCGCCGCCGAAACAGACGCGGCAGTCAGCAGATCCAGCTCAGTCCATTTACTCACCAAGGCTTGATAGTACGAGCGTACATCCAGGTCACCTTGATGAAGA